ATTCACTTTAAAAGAGCAGAAAAAACCTTGGAATAAACCTAACCAACAAGTGTAGAAGACCTCAGTAATGAAAATTACAGAACACTAAAAGCAGAAAGACATCAAAAGATGTGTTGGTAGAATCAACATTATCAAAATGTCCTTATCACCAAATGTAACAGTACGTATTCGGTGCAATCCCAAACAAAAATCCCAACAACATTCTTCTCAGAAATAGAAAAAAGTGATGCAAAAATTCATCTCGAAACATAAGAGACCACAAATAAGCAAAGCTATGGTGAAGAATAAAAATAAAGTTGGAGGAATCACAGTTCCCAGACCTTAGGACATACTAAAAGGCCGTAGTTATTGAAACAGCCTGGTACTGATGCAGAAACAGAGATTAGTGGAATAGCATAGAAACCCCCAAAAGGGAGCCCATACGTGTATCCCCAGCTGATCTTTGAGAAGAAAATTGAAAATAATCTAGGGAAAAATTTGGTCTTTTCAACAAAGGCTTTTGAGATAATTGGATACCGTTAAGAAGCAAGACTCCCACCTGTCACCTTGTATAAAAAAATGAGCTCTAAATATATCAGGGACCCAGAAACCATCAAACTATTATAGGAAAACATAGGAAGTGCTCTCCAAGATAAAAGAATTGGGAAAGACTTTTTAGAAAGGTCACCAAAAGCACAGGCAGTCAATCAAAATAAACAAATTGGACTACAACAAAGATTTAGCAAAGCAAGAGAAATAAACAACAAAGTGAAGAAGCCACCAACAGAATGGGAAAAAATATTTACACACTACAGAACCAATAAGGGATTAATATTCATGATTTACAAAGGATTCAGAAACTCAATGACAGCAAAATAAACAGCCCTGAGAATAAATGGGCAATGGAAGTTAGCAAGTTTTGTTTTTTTTTTAAAAGAACACATTCAAATGGCTAATAGATATATAAAAATGCTCAGGCTCCCTAGTTGTCAGGGAAATACAAGTAAACACCACACTGAGGTTATACTTTATGTAATTGGCCTACATTCGGGAATCTACTGACAATATCTGCTGTCATGGGTGTGGGGGGAAAGTGTCCTACTCCACTGCTGGTAGGATTTTAAGTTGGTGCAACCACTAGGGAAGTCAGTATGGAGAGTGCTAAGACAACTAAAACTTGATCTGCCTTATGACCCATCTATTCCACCTCTGGGAATATATCTAAAGGAAGCAAACTCTGCAGTGGCAGAAAGTGACCTGCAACTCTATACTTACAAGTAGTACAATCCACAAGTGGCAAGACATGGTTACAACCCAGCCCATTAAAAGAGGAGTGGTAAAGAACGGTAATGCATCTACTCTATGGAATACTACTCAGCCACTAAAAAGAATGAAATTTTACCATTTGCAACACTGTATGTTCTACCTTTCCCTGTATTTACTATGCCATGGTACTCTGTATTTCAGAAATTTAAGTTTGAAATGCTGAACTGAGTGATTGTGTTTTTGCGATATCTTAGGTAAAAATAATGTGAGGTGATTGTGGGGATGGAGGCAGGAAAGGAGGAGAGAAGAACTCTTACGATGACAAAACTTTATCATAGAAAATAAAGGGCCTGAATGTGTTAGCTTAATGGCTAAATCCCTGCCTTGCATGGGCTGGGATCCCGTGAGGGTGGTGGTTCATGTCCTGTGTGCTCCACTTCCCACTCAGTGGCTTGGGAAAGGAGGATAGGCAGAATCCCTGGGACCCTGCATCTGTGTGGGAGGTTTAGAAGAAGCTCCTGGCTCCTGGCTTTGGATCGGCTTAGCTCCAGCTGTTGTAGCCATATGGGGAAGATCTTTGTATATCTGCCTTTCGAATAGAAATAAACAAAACTTAAAAAAAATACTGTTTTTCTTTAATGTCTTAGAAGTTGCAGCTGAAAACTGAGACTTCTCATAACTTCTGAGTCTATTGTATAGCTGGGATCAAGAACCAATGCTATGTTGGAATCTTTTGGTATGGCATAACTGCACACAGTCTTCGTGATCTTTGATGATTTAATCTTCTGCCACTTATGTTTGCAACTTTACAAATAACAGCCATAATTTACTAGTGTTTCTTTTCCTTGTATTGTTACAGGTGACCTAAGTGGCATCTATTGTACTGCACCAAATGCTCATCCCATACACCAGCCTTGTGAGTCAGTGCTGCTGTCATTAGCAGTAGGCAGTGGCTTGTGGAAGGGCTTTTACAGGCTGTGGCCCAGCATGATGCTTGTCATGGCCTGTGAGGTAGGCAAGGAGCCACAGCCTTCCCATTGTTCAGATGCTGAAATGGAGGTTTGGCTTTCCACCCTAATGAGTGACAGAGTGTAAGAGAAAATGATCAAAGACACACATGTACATCAGCTCTCAGCAGATTCTGTCTTGATAAGGTCCATACTATACTTTTTTAGTCTCACAACACCACTGAATTATCTCAGGTTTCTTTTGAGTTTAGAAGCTCACAGGGGATTTGATCATTTGAGGAAACTTGCTTTCAGAATATTTATTTTTCTACTTGGGAACATAATTGCAATGGAATTTTCTTGGTTCCAGTATTCTTTATGTAGAGTATCCTCACGATGCAGTCAGTTTCATCGATGCCTGTCTGATAGAGAAAGGAGGGGGAAGTTCCATATGATTGGTTGAAGTATTCATTCCTGAGACCCATAAAGTGAGTCACTGAAATTATTCCATCAAGCCTGTAGATCCGGACACGGTGTTTAAGGGCTGTGCGGTTGGGCCCAAATGTGCTACTAAACACAGAGCTTTCTGTAACGGAGAAGGGAGAGGACCTTGAGTTCCTCAATGAAGCTTCCCCATGTGCTTGTTACTGTGTTAGGTTTGTGGTGTTTACCACTTCCTGTCTGCAATCTAAGAAGCCTCCTGGCCTTTCCTGGTCTGAATGTGAGGCCCATAGGGTAGTTTGTAAGCTCATAACTCACTGGAAAGCTCAACCCCTTTTTGAATTTTAATATTGGAAGAAATCATAAACAAGTCACTTTGAATTCTCTCCCTTTTGCACAAAGTCAAGCAGCTTGAGCAAGTATGTGAGGATAAGAGTATTCATTCTAGAAAAAGATGGTTTTATTTAGGATACATCTGTTGAGATGCTTACTGTGGGTATCTAATCAAGCCCTGAGTTTCAACTCAATTAGAGCTTTGATAAAAGAGGAAAAGCAACTTGAAAGAATGGTCTTCCATTCATGAAGGGCCTGTGTGTTTTAGTTTCCAAGTAAAATGAAATAATGGGACCATGCATTTTCCATCCAAGCATTTTCTACCCTGAGAATAATTCCCTTCCTGGCTTCTCGATGAATAATGCATTATTTCTGAAACCCAAGAGACATTCCTTTGATTTTACTTTATGTTTAGCTTTCTGAATGAGTTTTCAAGCAGAGAAATTCAAGGACTTGGTCTAAATGCTTTATTAACATTTTTATTGAATTTCAGAAAGCTGCCGGACTATTATCTCCTGATACTTGAAATATTTTTTTCTCTCTGTGAAAAATCTATGGTATTGTATTTATTAGAAAATGAAGCACCTTGGACAGTCTTCAAAGTGAACAGCGGTTTAAAACCAATACGCATTTCTGTTGTAGAACAAAGAGTTTTATGGGGGTACTTTTCTCTTTGCTTTATTTTCATTTCCCTGCTGAAAAGTTTCAAAAAAGAAAGCTCACATTGAAAACTGGGCTGTTTGGATACTCAGTCTCGTTTGTTTGTATTTTGTGGAGTTCATTGCTTGAGGCTCATCCAAATCCCCTGTCCCAATCCACATCTCCATTCACAAGGCCAATACATTTGAATCTAACAGTTTAAATAAACTTCGGGGAGTAACACTAGACCCCTTCTCGTCAAGCCTGAGGATCCTTAGGTGAGGCAGAAAGGGACATGGTGAAACTCCCTGGCCCTTGCCCTGGTGGCCAGTCCTGTTCTTTTTATAGAGAAAACTGATGAAGGATTGCAAGAATCAAATAAGAAAAAAATGAAGAATATAATCTATATTTCTATTCCTAAAATTGTAGCAAAATTAGAATAGTTCAGAATAGTTGATGAAGGAAAAAAATTGATCTAAATATAAAATTTGGTTTAATATATTTTCTACTAGTGGCAATTTAGTGTAGGGTTTCTGGACTATGGACTGTGAAGCTAGATGCTATGAGCAGAACTTCATAGAGGATTGGGCCCTGGTTGATAAGAGGCCATGGCCTTGAGCAAGTCATCGAAGCATTCTGGGTCTGTTTCTTCATCGGTACAATGGGACGGCTCCTTATGTGTCATGTAGCTATCGGGAGGATTGAGCTGTTATTTATAAAGCATATGGACCAACATCATTTAAGAAATTGTCAAATAAGAGCAAAATACCCACCTGGTTCATGCTACTGAGGTTTTAATGACAATACAAGTATTGATACTGTTAAAACACATTAAGTAATTTTTTTTAAGTCTTCTAAACAAACGTCAGAAAGTATGTATGATCATCTCAGCTTTTCTGATGTGCAAGCTGAAGTAGGAAAATCATTTGACCAAGTTCATTTGATTCATAAAAGGCATAGCAAGGATTGAAGTCCAAGCCACCTGAATCCAGAGCTGGAACCCAAATGAAACGTTAAAGCGTGGTTATCATTAGTGCTTATCCTGCCTGACAACAGCCACTTGGTGTTAAAAGTCATGTCTTTTAAGAGGGGAAATGTGTCCCTGAATGGAGTTTTCACATCTTAATTGCTTATCAAGCTTTCTGTGTTTTGCTGAAAAGAATCATCCTTAGTGTGTCCTGAGTCATTTTAGTAGGAACTGAATAAATGAGCTCTTATTATTTTATAACTGGAGGGTTTTTCTTCTTTCAGAAAATGAATATTCCATTTGCAGTGATGGTTTGTGCCTCGGGTCTCACTGTTGTATTAGAATGGAATCGTTTTACGTGATGGTGGCCACTTTTGTAACGTGCTTTCCGTTCTCTCTTTTGAATCCTCCTCCTCTATCCTATGTAGGAGCCTTTATCATCTGCTGGACCCCCGGATTGGTCTTGCTACTGCTCGACGTGTGCTGCCCCCAGTGTGATGTTCTGGCCTATGAGAAATTTTTTCTTCTCCTTGCTGAGTTCAACTCTGCTATGAACCCCATCATCTACTCCTACCGCGACAAAGAGATGAGCGCCACCTTCAGACAGATCCTCTGCTGCCAGCGCAGCGAGAACAGCAGCGGCCCAGCGGAAGGCTCAGACCGCTCGGCCTCCTCCCTCAACCATACCATCCTGGCCGGGGTCCACAGCGACGACCACTCTGTGGTTTAGGAAGCGGACTGAGGTGGAAAGCCAGCCGTCCTTAAAGGAGGGAAAAACAGCTTCTCCCACTCCAGGCGAGGTGGGAGAGGAGAAGAGTGGAAGAAACTCAGTGAACTTATAACACTAACCAATGGCAGTATTTGTCCCTAGTCCTCACAAGACTTGATGTTTGAAAACTAGCTTCTGTGACAACCTTTGTCCCAGTGCCCATTCCTTCTAAAAATAGAAAGTGGAGTTGGTGCGATGGATTCAAGAGTAGATTCTGGAGTTTCTATCTAGACATCAACTACACTTTAAATGATTTTGTGTGTTTTTGGTGCAAGTTGGAAGAAATTCTGACAGATTAAATCCACAAATTCAAATTACATACAAACTTCCTTTTTTATTTTTTTGAGGATACATTTCACTTAATAAACATGTTTATGCCTATCAGCATGTTTGTGATGCTATAGACGATAGACTGTTGTTAAGCTACCATAATTTCATTTTTTCCTTATGTAGGAAAATTGTAAGTTACAATTATGTTTTTTAGAAAGCATACATGTAATGTGTATATATACAGTATGCTTTACTCAAAAAGGTAATGGAATACTGATTTTTAAATCTTCTAAGAAATAGAAGAACCTAGATGTCAAAGGCAGTGTTTGTATAGGTTATAAAACAAATAATGCTCTAATTACAATGTTACCTTTTAGTAAAGTGTTGTAACAAGTATAAAATAAGCAGGGGATGTAATTTGTTACCGAAAGAATTTGTATGCCTGAAAATGTAGCAGAAGCTGGAGCATAGTAATATTGTTCCCATCTATTTAAAATACACAAATACATGCTAATTAAAACACTTCTGGAGCTTAATAGCCCAGAAAATGACAGGACATCAAAAGAAGTTATTAGCATAGTGTTTCTGAGTTACAAAATGATACTTGGCAAAAAACATGAATATTACAAATGCATAAAATTGCTTACCAAATAATATCACAACCAAATAGTAACCCCCTTTAACATCTTCTCTGTCTGTGTGAATATCATATACATTTTTGGTGTAAGTGGGATCATACCATAAATGGTTTTTAAACTAGTTTTATTTTTTTTTTCACTGTAGAATTGCCACATTTTTCTCATGGCACTAAAATTTTTCTGAAAACATAGTTTTAAGGGCTGCATGATATTCCGTTTAATGAATGCAATTTATTTAACCATTCCCATTTATTATTGACTATTTAGGTTATTTCTAATTTTTAATACTCTTAAGCTCCAAAAAGTTTATGTACATAAAACTTTGTCCATATAATTGATTATTTACGTAGGTCATATTCCCATGAAGGATTTTTTTTTTTAATGTGAAATGCCTTCTTAAGCTTTTACCTTTTATCAAAAGGGATTTCCTGCTTTTGAACTGCATAGTTGGCAGTTGTCAGGAAAGCCAGTTAGTTACTTTACATTTTAACAAAGGAAACACGGTGATTGTTTTAGTTGAAAGAGACTCTTCAATAAAATAAGGTGAACTAGAATTGGTCAACTGTCACAATAACCAATACACCCTCATACAACTAGCAATTCCAAATTCATTTAAGGGACTGTTCTCCAGCTCTAGGTTACCATAAACGTACTCTAGAATTGAAGGAGATGAAGAGCAATTGCGCATGTCAAGTGACAAAAAGGATTGGTAAAATACATGGCTTGGGTCTTTCTAAAGCAGGGTGGTTGAGTAGGTCTGTATGTGCCTGGCTACCATGTGTTCTGCAGGAGCACCCACAAGAGACTGTTGCAATGACAGGTGATCCTGTTCAGTGCCTTGTCCAGGTAGACCAGTGGTTGCATTCACTTGTTGTAGCAAGCATCCAGAAAGGGAAAGTCTTTGAAGCAGATCTGGGGAGGGTGGGAGAGTGTCAAAGAGAAAGAAACTTGGAAGAAGGGCTGTTTAGGATGGAGGAAGTCAGTGCATGGTTGGCAGTTGAGAAGAGCAGATGGTGGAGAGAATGAGAAACTGGAGAGCAGAAAGCTATTTGCTCATGCTTCATACAAAGCACAGAATACTTGGTGTGCAAGTGAAAGAAATGAACTTGGACTCTTACTGATTTGCATAGTTTCTGGAGGTGATATGAACTATTTCAAATTAAGAGCATACCGAATGGACCTTAAATAAATCATTGTCAATCAGTGTTTGATAATGTGTGGTTCTGGTTAATTTAAAAATTTTCTGACTTGCATTGCGTGGCGTCTGTCCTCTGTCACCTCCTTTATTTTCCTGCCCAAACAGCTACTGAACTCTGATGTGTTACACAACTGTATGCTTCCCCCATCCCAGACCTGCTTGCTCCAGCCTAACAAGTCTCTGATATCTAAGGTTTGATGATTTATGTTCCATTAAAGGTGGCACAGTGTGTTAGGACAGTCCTTGATCTCAACAGGATAATCGTTGGAGTGAGTTTGTTTTTTGAGAAATTGGTTTTATATAAAACTTGAACAACTTTGTCACAAGCTCTTCCTAGGAGTGAGTAAAGTTGCAGTGGTCCTTCTGCTAACCAACAAGATCAATGGGAGCTGTATTTTCTAGTTATATGTTGGGAACAGGCATGTTTACTCAGTGTTTATTCAAGAGAATATCCCAGTAAGTCCATGGAAAAAGAACCCCAAATTGTAGAAAGATTTGATATCTTAGAAATCAGTTGATATTCACCTAACATTTGTCATGCAATTAATGTATCTTTTTGGCGTTCTCTTTCTCTTCACCAGTTAACTATAGTTTAAGATTCCCCATTGTTAATTTTCCTTCTAATATATTACAATATTCTTTTAGAAATATCGTGATTTTTATAAATATTGCTCTTAGCCTCTCACTTTAAGCCCAGACTATGTAGTGTGTAAGAATGAGTTTGTTCCGAGCCTTTCATTAGGCAAGATAAAGGAAATATTTTTTATTGAAAAAACCTTTTGAGCAAATTACAGTTTTCTTTAATATCAAGTGAGCATTGCCTAATCCCAAATCCTCATGAGGATTAGTGCTTATGTGTGAGTTAAGATTGTATAACTTCTAAGGAAGACTGGATTTAGGCACCATTTGACAGAAGAAACAGGGGCAGCTGGAGCCAGAATGTGTCATGAATCTGCTAAGCAGGATCAATTCTTATTCTAGTGATCATTATCTTTAAAGTCTACGTAGGAAATTTTCCTGTTCTCCTAAAGCTTGTTGATCAAATCCATCTATTTTATTTTTTAACATGAACTGTGAGCTAAATGAGTCTTGCATTTTAAAATGACTGGGAAAATGTTTTATGACTCATGAAAATTAACTGAAATTCTAATTCTAGTGTCTGCTATAATAGGCATAGTAGTTTATTGAAACATTGTCACACTTACTAGCTTATATGCCAGTTATAAGTAAAGGCATTCTTAGGCAAGAATTGCTATTTAATTCCAAGTCACTCATTAAGGATTTACTTTTTGCTTAAAATATTATAGCCATAAGTAAGTTGGGATAACAAAAGCCAACATCAAGTTCTTTAATATGTTTTTATCAATAAACCAGTTTATATTTTCTAAATTGATTCAAACATTTATTTACTTGAAATTCAGAGTTACAGAGAAAAAGAGAGGAAGGTATATAGAGAGGGGTCTTACATCTGCTGAGTCATTCCTCACATGGTTGCAACAGCTGGATTTGGGCCTGTGCAAAGCCATCATTCAGGAGCTGCTTCTAGGTCTCCAGCATGTGCAGGGTACCAAGAACTGGGTCCACCATCTGCTTTCCCAGGTGTGTTAGGAGAGAGCTGAATGGGAAGTGGAGTACTCGGGACTCCACCCAGTGTATCACGCGGTCATGCTTGGGAAGGTTGCAATAGCACCACTTTGTTGTGTTGATTCTGTTATACAGCTTACAGAAAACATATTTGTATTTTGATCCTGGGGACTATGATGTGACACTGCCTGTTAAGCCTCTACTTGTGGTGTGGACATAGCATACTGGCACTGCCGTGTTGAGTCCTGGTGGCTGTACCTCCCGTTTAGTTCCCTATTTCTGTGCTTGTGAAAGGAGCCGAAGATGAGCTCAGTGCGTGGGTCCCTGCAGATCATGTCTGAGACTTGAATGGGATTCCTGGCTCTTGGCTTGGGAGTGGCTCCAGTTATCTTTTGCTGGCCTTTAGAGAATGAATCAGCAGACAGGATCTCAAATTTTCTCTCCCCTTTCTCAAATAAGTTTTGTTGTTTGCATTTTGATCCTCGTGATCATCATGTTATTCATGAAGAAATTCAATTCAGGAAATATTGCAGATCTGATCTTGGTAGTCTTTCATTTTATGTCTGACATCACATCCAGTAATTTCTTATATGTATTTTTGCCTGGGTTCCTGAAACAAATCATGAAGTGCATTAAAAGGTACAATATGGGCCCAGTGTGATAGCCTACTGGCTAAATTCTCACCTTGAATGTGCTGGGATGCCATATCGATGCTGGTTCATATCCTGGCTGCTCCACTTCCCATCCTGCTCCCTGCTTGAGGCTTGGGAAAGCTGTTGAGGTTGGCTCAAAGCCTTGGGACCCTGCACCCATGTGGCAGATCCAGAAGAAGCTTCTGGCTCCTGGCTTCAGATTGGCTCAGTTCCAGCCATTGTAGCCACTTAGGGAGTGAAACAGCAGATGGAAGATCTTTCTCTCTGTAAAATCTGACTTTCCAATAAAACATTTTTTAAAAAGAGGTACAATCTGTGTATTTGATTTTTACTTTGAAAGAGGGAGTGAGAGCCTTCTCAACTACCTGTTCACTTCAAACGTGCCTGCAGAGGCCAGGGATGGGCCAGGCTGAAGCCAAGCATCTTCCATGAACCCAATTGCTTGAGCTGTTATATTGCTGTTTGGCTTCTGCACTGACAAGAAGCTGAAGTCATGAGCCAGAGCCAGGTATTAAACCCTACATGGAAAGAAGGCGTCTTAACTGGCAATGTTAATTGCTTACTAAATGCGTATTGTATATATTGTTTTGATCCTGTAGGGAACTTAGCGCAGTTAAAATTATGGACAATAATTTGATATAAAAAATGGGAGCATTAACTTTTGTGTTGTCTACTGGATACATGTATACCCATATCCAAAACTGGACACACATATCCAAACCTGAGTTCTTTGAGAACAAGATAACCTTGCGCTTTTCCTGTTTATGATCCAAACCACTGGAACAAAATGAGAAATACAGTATCATCTGTAGAATGGTTTCTAATTGAGAATTATGAGATTATAATTAGATGTAATATTTGTTATCCTTACAATTCATTTATTCACAATTTTTTTTAAAACATGATTTTCTTATTTTATCTGGGAGAGAAACCAAGGGAGTGTTCCTATCTGCTGGTTCACTTCCCAAATACCCACCATGGAAGGTTGGGGCAGAGCTGGACCTGGAAACCAGAAACAGACCAGGTCTGCCACATGGAGGAAGG